CCCCCACGCGCACATCTTCATATTCTGCTACTGCTGTGCCCATTCCTGTTGTTCCCCTTAGCCCTGGGTTTCTGCGTCTTCCCCCACTGCTCTGCTGGGGCTGCCCTGCTCCCTCATCTACCCTCAAAGAGCACTCAAGGAAGCTAAGACCATTGCAGAGAAGAAAAATGAATTCTTTACATTGGTCTTCACTGCAGAGGAGGTGGTGGAGATACCCAAATCAGAGCTCTGCTTTTTGGCTGACAAAGCTGAAGCATTGTCCCACACTGATGTGTCAGTAGAAGATGTTTTAGAACAAATTGACAAATTAAACATCAGGGGGTAGTCGTGTTAGTCTGTATCTACAAAAACAACAAGGAGTCTGGTGGCACCTTAAAGACTAACAGATTTATTTGGGCATAAGCTTTCGTGAGTAAAAACCTCACTTCTTCGGATGCATAGAGTGAAAGTTACAGATGCAGGCATTATATACTGACACATGGAGAGCAGGGAGATACTTCGCCAGTGTTGACAGGGCCAATTCAATCAGGGTGGATGTAGTCCACTCCCAATAATAGATGAGGAGGTGTCAATTCCAGGAGAGGAAAAGCTGCTTCTGTAATGAGCCAGCCACTCCCAGTCCCTATTCAAGCCCAGATTAATGGTGTTAAATTTGCAAATGAATTTTAGTTCTGCTGTTTCTCTTTGAAGTCTGTTTCTGAAGTTTTTTTGTTCAATGATAGTGACTTTTAAATCTGTAATAGAATGACCAGGGAGATTGAAGTGTTCACTTACTGGCTTATGTATGTTACCATTCCTGATGTCCGATTTGTGTCCATTTATTCTTTTGCGGAGGGACTGTCCGGTTTGGCCAATGTACATGGCAGAGGGGCATTGCTGGCACATGATGGCATATATAACGTCAGTGGATGTGCAGGTGAATGAGCCCTTGATGGTGTGGCTGATGTGGCTGGGTCCTCTGATGCTGTTGCCAGAGTAGATATGGGGACAGAGTAGGCAACGAGGTTTGCTACAGGGATAGGTTCCTGGGTTGGTGTTTCTGTGGTGTGGTGTGTAGTTGCTGGTGAGTATTTGCTTCAGGTTGGGGGGTTGTCTGTAAGCGAGGACTGGCCTGCCTCCCAAGGTCTGTGAGAGTGAGGGATCATTTTCCAGGATAGGTTGTAGATCGTGGATAATGCGCTGGAGAGGTTTTAGCTGGGGGCTGTATGTGATGGCCAGTGGTGTTCTGTTATTGTCCTTGTTGGGCCTGTCCTGTAGTAGGTGATTTCTGGGTACCCGTCTTGCTCTGTCAATCTGTTTCCTCACTTCCCCAGGTGTGTATTGTAGTTTTACGAATGCTTGATAAAGATCTTGTAGGTGTTTGTCTCTGTCTGAGGGGTTGGAGCAAATTCATCATATGGACCCACGGAAAGGAGGCCCTTGAAGAATTCCACCTGGACTTCAACAATTTCCACCCCACCATCAACCTCAGCCTGGACCAGTCCACACAAGAGATCCACTTCCTGGACACTACAGTGCAAATAAGTGATGGTCACATAAACACCACCCTATACCGGACTCAGCCCCTGCTTAAGGACCTGGGTTCCTGACTGACTATTGAATTGCTGCCCCGCCCTGACCTAGGGCTGCTATAAACATTGACTCAGCCCCTGCTTAAGGGCCTGGGCTGCAATCAAACAGTCAGTCAGAAACCCAGGCCCTTAAGCAGGGGCTGAGTCAATGAGCAAGAGGTCCCAGCCTCTCTAGGCCAGGAGGAAGGGGGAGTCTGCCACCCAAGGAGCGGGTGGCAGGGGGGACGCAGGCCCTCCCACTCCACTGCATCCAGCCCGGGGCCCTAGCAGCGGCGGAAACTCGCTGCTGTCAGTGGGGATCCTGGCCGCAACACACTGACATAGGCTCTGGCAGTGCTGCAGCCAGACTGGGGTCGGCTGCCCCTGGGCTACTTCCACACTCCCCCTCGTAGGGTACCTGGGCCGTACTAGTGTCCTCGGTGCTCTCCACCAGCATCGGTTCCTCTGGGTAGGTAGCGAAGGGTACGCTCGGCTCCTCCTCGGGGTAGCTGGAACGGGGCAGGCTCGGCTCCTCCTCGGGATAGCTGTAACGGGGCAGGCTTGGCCAGTCCTCCTCAGGATACCGGGCGAGGGGTAGGCTCGGCTGGCCTGGTGAGTCAGCAGGCCGGTCGCGGCCTGCTGCTGTCTCCCAAGCGGGAGCTCGGCCACAGCCGTCTGCTCTCTCTGCCGGCTTGTTCTCCACTGAGCTCTGCAGGCGGGCTTTTATACTTCCGGGTCGGCGCCGTGACCTCTGAGGGGTGGGCGCCGGACCCGGTGGCTCCGCCCACATTGGTGTTAGGGGAGGTTCGGCCCTCAGCGGGGCTGTGGGGTATCCCACCGCCTCGCTATACTACTCAAGAAAGAGATCTTGGAGACACCATGGATAGATCTTTGAAAACTTCAACTCAGTGCTCAGCAGTGGTCAAAAAGGCTAACAGAATGTTAGGAACTATTAGGAAAGGGATAGAAAATAAGACAGAAAATATCATAATGCCACTATATAAAGCCATGGTGCACCAACATTTTAGTCCACTTCTGCTTGTCGCATCTCAAAAAAGATAGTGGAACCGGAAAAGGTTCAGAGAAGGGTAATAAAGATGATCAAGGCTATGGAACGGTTTTCATATAAGAAGAGATTAAAAAGATGAGGGCTGTTCAGTTTAGAAAAGAGACGATTAAGGGCGGATATGATAGAGGTTTATAAAATCATGAATGGTGTAGAGAAAGTGAATAGAGAAGTATTATTTCCCTTTCCCACAATACAAAAACCAAGGGTCACCGAATGAAATTATTAGGTATCAGGTTTAATAAAAAACAAGAAGGGCTTTTCCATACAACACACTATTAATCTGTGGAACTCATTGCCAGGGGCTATTGTAAAGGCCAAAAGTATAACTGGGTTCAAAAAAGAACTAGATACATTCATGGAGGATAGGTCCATCAATGACTATTAGCCACAATGATCAGGGATGCAACCCCATGCTCCAGGCATCCCTGAGCCTCTGATTGCCAGAAGCCAGGAGGGGAACACAAGGTAGATCACACCAACTGCACTGTTCTGTACATTCCTCCTGTAGCCCTAGTAGCGGCCACTGTCAGAGATAAGATACTGAGCTAAATGGACCACTGGTCTGACCCAGTAGGGCCATTCTTATGAGAATCTCACCTTTCATTTAAAAAAATAAGTCTCCAGCTCTTACACTTGCAGAGAAAAGCTTGAAAATGTGAACCCAAAAGGCTCCCGAACTAGAAGACAGATACAAACAATCCAACATTTGTTATTTTTTAAAATATCATCATTTTAAAGCCAAATCATGAATTTTCAAAGCCTGACTCACGCTTTTTGAACTCTTGGGCTTGGCAGTACTAGAGCGTGCAGGATTCTCTCACCTTTCCCTAGGCATGAGGGGTGGGGTAGGGCTGGGGAGGGGGCAGCACTAGCAGCCAGAGAGACAAAGCTGCAAAGCCAGCTGGGACGCAGGAGGGCCGAGAGCTTGGGGAGCACTCTTGACCCCTTAGACAAGTGAGGGGGTAGAAGGGACCTCTGCTTGCTCCCTGTGCTGAGGGTAGACGAAGAAGCTCTGCAGCATGTGGAGCAGCATTTTCCCAGGAGGCAATGGGGAAGGACAGCCTATCAGAGGGGTTTTTCCCCACAGACCTAAGTATGAGAGCCTGAAAAGCTGCAGGTTACAGGGAAAGCGGGTAGAGCTGGCAGCCCTTTGATGGAATCCTTAAAAACTAACACACCCAAAAGCAGTAGCCGCTTTTGAACTTTGGGGGTTAAGTGCCCATCTGTGAGCCCCTGGTCCTTATCCACTGTTGGAATGTGGGGGCATGACCAGTCAAGTTCATTGATAAATCGTTCTGTCTGTTCAAAGAAAACTTGACATGTGTGTTCTTATTGAGGTACAGAGGGTCTATATTTAACACTTACATTATATTTATTTAAACAAGTGGTTCTCAAACTTTTGTACTGGTGACCCCTTTCAAATAGCAAGCCTCTGAGTGCGACCCCCCTTCTAAATTAAAAACACTTTTTTATATATTTAACACCATTATATATGCTGGATATAAAGTGGGGTTTGGGGTGGAGGCTGACAGCTCGTGACACCCCATGTAATAACCTCGTGACCCCCTGAGGGGTCCCCACCCCCAGTTTGAGAACCCCTGATTTAAACACTACATAACTCTGACACAACACAACAGCAGCCTGTTGTTTCTGGTAGTCCACACCCTGCACCTTACCCAATGGAGGAGACAGGGGAGTGGTACTAGGCAGAGAAAAACTAAGCTCTCCCTCCCCCCCCCACCCCCACCCCCATTCATGGTGTCCTGTACTTGCATTCACTGTGGGGATTCTTTTTCGTGCCATTTGAGGAAAGGGGAAAAGTGGTATCAGCAGGAACTGGTGATGTTCAAGGGTATTTGCACCAAAGATCTTTCAAAGTGTCCATCTCTTTTCCTCCCATCTCTGGGATAGGATCTGAAATATGGTTGTGTTCAGGGCAACTAACTAGGGTTGGTCTTAGACAAATGCTACCAGGGAAGGGCTCCCAGAATGTGAATCCTTGAAGCCCCAAAGCATGGTGCCCTGGGAGGCCATACACCCCATACAGGCCTTGGACCTGCTTTGCACACGCTTCAGTGTTATTTACTCTGCATTACCTTCTGGGATGCTGCAGTCCAGTGGTCTTTGCACTGCAATATCCAGTCCCAACTATGCTGCATTCTGCTGCAGTGGCTCTGTACCTTCCATTGATGACTGCACTGCCTTCAGTCACTGCCACCCAGCAGTTCCCAGGGCTGTTTGCCAAGCAATCAGTTTGTAATCAATATGATCTGTGTCTTTGGCAGGAACTTTCTTTCAGAACAAATTTAGACATACACAAAAGTACAAAGTTTGCTGATGGGTTAAGCTTTAATCTCTCGTAGTTGTTTATTCACTCCAGAAAATAAATAGTGGCCATTTTGTAGGTCTGTAATCTACTTTGAAGCCTGGAGTCTCACCTAGTTCTGCTTGCTTTTAAAGCCCAAAGTAAGTTGTTTTTTGCAAATGATTGAGAGATGAATGAGGGCTGTGTCTGGGTGACTATGGTTCCTGCTTTTCCTGCTGTGAAATAATTTGATTTCATATTTGTCCTTGGTGACTTTGGCTTTCTTTGCACTAGGAAACTTAAGTCCTATAACTCTCCTCTGGTGTGGCTCCCCTTTTGTCTGCTGTCATGCAGATGTGTACCGCATGCACATGTCACTGTGTCACCTTCTCAGAGAAGATGACACAGTGACAAAAACACCCAAGTCCTGTCTACGTTACTGCCTCCGATATTGCAACTATTACTGGAGTTGCTCTAGTGGAGAATTACAGGTCCCTATCTTTTAGTGGAGAGTTAAACATGTCTGTCAGTGAGATAGGCCATATCTACTCTTGGAAGTTTGGTTGAGTGATTTTGTCTACATAGCCAATGTGTTTCTCTATGTCTGGAGCACAGGTTGTCATCATTTGGCCGCCTTTCCAACCTGGTAGCTCACATTGTGGCTATCTGAAGTGCTGGTCCCAATAAGGGTTGCAACTCCTAATTAATTGATATAGGAGGATAGCAGAGAGGGCTGGAGCACTCTCCTGGGTATTTTCAGAAAAAATTAAATTGTAAACAACACATTTATTCCTAGTCTGAAGCACCTCCATTTTCATTTGCACTGTAAAAGGTCTATTTTAACTAGGCCTGCAAAACTATTATTAACAAATAATTTATTAAACAAATTTTGCTTCTTTTTTTTTTGTGGATTATGAGGAAACACCTCACACATTTCATATTTTGTCATTATTTTCCAAATCATTTCTGTGAATAATTCTTGGTCTGTAGCTTATTCACAATAGTTCATAGATTAATATAGTGCAAGGTCAGAAGGGACCACTGTGATTATCTAGTCTGACCTCCTGTATAACACAGGCCATAGAACTTCCCCAAAATAATTGCTAGAACAGTTTTTTTAGACAAACATCCAATCTTGATGTAAAAATTGCTATTGATGGAGAATCTACCATAACCCTTGATAAATTGCTCCACTAGTAAAATATACACTTTATTTTCTGTCTGAATTTGCTACCTTCAACTTCCAGCCACTGGATTGCGTTATATCTTTCTCTGTTAGGTTGAAGAGCTCATTATCAAATATTTGTTCCCCATGTAGGTACTTACATCTTCAAACTTTAGCAGTCATTATTTTTTGTTTTCTTCCAGGTCATTGATAAAAATATGAAATAGCATAGCAAGAATATAGCATAGCATAGCAAACAGAATAGCAAGAACTGATCCCTGTGGGACCCTACTAGAAACACACCCACTCAGTGATGATTACCTGTTTACAGTTACATTTTGAGACTTATCCGTTAGCCAGTTTTTAATTCATTTAATATGTGCTACATTAGTTTTAAATCATACAAGTTTTAATCAAAATGTCATGCAATACCAAGTCAACACCTTACCGAAATCTATTACATCAACCCTATTATCTTTATCAATCAAACTTAGATAATCTTATCAAAAATAGAGATATCAAGTTAGTTTCAAAGGATCTGTTTTCCATATAAACCCATTTTGACTGGCAAGTATTTGATATTCAACGTTCCTGCTGCTTTGACTGCACACATATGTCATGCAGTGTTATTTCTGTTCCCTGACTGGATGAAGTAATACTAAGAATCATATTTCCAGTGTGAACAGTTACAAGTACAATTTCAAAATTTTCTTTGTGCCAATATTCTCCTATAGTTGCTCCAAATGTTATACATTTGCCTTCGCACATACTCATTTGCTACAATATTCACAGAAAGCAAACATCAAAGGGACGTGAATTCATTACAAAAGTCAACTGAATATTCCTGGAAAATATTTGGCAGTTTTCACCGAGCACTAATTCTAACTATGAATCCGAACATAGTTTTGCACTGCATTTATTCTGGAATGGGTTTAGATGCAGGTTTCTGTATTTACTCTTTTCAGAATTTTCTAGACCAAATTCAAAAATGTTCTAAGTGAGGATTGCATATTGGTGAATGTGTGTAGGGCTGGTATCATTTATAGAAGGGTAGAGAGGGACACAGGAAAATGAACCAGCAGGAGGATGTAAGGGCTGCTTTAATTTGCACCTTCTTACAGGCTTTTGTTGGGTGCTTTTCCTACTACAGCCTTACTCTTCCACCTCTAATGTATGTTCATTTACACCACCTACTGGTAGCAACATGTAACACAGCCATCCGTTGATGTTGCCGGCAAGTTAAAGAAGTATGGGTTGGATGAACGGACTATAAGGTGGATAGAAAGCTGGCTAGATCGTCGGGCTCCACGGGTAGTGATCAATGGCTCCATGTCTAGTTGGCAGCCGGTATCAAGTGGAGCGCCCCAAGGGTCGGTCTTGGGGCCGGTTTTGTTCAATATCTTCATTAATGATCTGGAGGATGGCGTGGACTGCACCCTGAGCAAGTTTGCAGAGGACACTAAACTGGGAGGAGTGACAGATACGCTGGAGGGTAGGGATAGGATATAGAGGGACCTAGACAAATTAGAGGATTGGGCCAAAAGAAATCTGATGAGGTCAACAAGGACAAGTGCAGAGTCCGACATTTTGGGCTGTATAAGTAGGGGCATTGCCAGCAGATCGAGGGACGTAATCATTCCCTTCTATTCAACATTGGTGAGGCCTCATCTGGAGTACCGTGTCCAGTTTTGGCCCCCACACTACAAGAAGGATGTGGAAAAATTGGAAACAGTCCAGCGGAGGGCAACAAAAATGATTAGGGAGCTGGAGCACATGACTTATGAGGAGAGGTTGAGGGAACTGGGATTGTTTAGTCTGCAGAAGATAAGAATGAGGGGGGATTTGATAGCCGATTTCAACTACCTGAAATGGGGTTCCAAAGAGGATGGATCTAGACTGTTCTCAGTGGTACCAGATGACAGAACAAGGAGTAATGGTCTCAAGTTGCAGTGGGGGATGTTTAGGTTGGATATTAGGAAAAACTTTTTCACTAGGAGGGTGGTGAAGCACTGGAATGGGTTACCGAGGGAGGTGGTGGAATCTCCTTCCTTAGAGGTTTTTAAGGTCAGGCTTGACAAAGCCCTGGCTGGGATGGTTTAGTTGGGGATTGGTCCTGCTTTGAGCAGGGGTTTGGACTAGATGACCTCTTGAGGTCCCTTCCAACCCTGATATTCTATGATTCTACAATGTTGTCTCTGAACTTGGCCCACACTCTCTGTTATTGATTGTTTTTTCTGACAGCTGAACCTTGGAGAAGACAGCATGGAGACAGAGACTGAGACAGAGAGATCATAAAATATAAGCTTCATTCTGCTTTCTGGCCATATCAGTAATGCTTTTTTGTAACATTGGGGCAGAAGATAATTTGCAGGGTTTGCTTGAGGCCAAGTTAAGTAATCATTAACCTGGATAATCACAACCTGGTAAAGCAGTAGCTAAGGTTAGACTATGTTCTGGTTTTAGCTATCTAAAAAAGATCAAGGGGCAAATTCTGCCCACATTTGTGATCCTTTCATTCCTAAGTGGCATCCATGGGGTTGTACAGGTACAAAGAAGACAGAATTAGGCCCAGTGCACTTAACACTATGGCCGACATCAAAGAAAGTGATCTGAGTTGCTTGTGAAGTATTTCCCCTTATAGACATATGATTACATTAAAAAAAAACCCTATGTTAAAAGAACATTAAGGTTGCAAAGTCAAGCACTCAAAAGTTAGGAAATGCCAGAATTAAGGTGGCCTATGCCATCTTAATTCAGCCCCCTGTGTGTATGCATTATGATACAATCTTTAATTATATGATCACATACTATTTTTTCCACTGCCTCATTGAGTGAACACATTGGACAGTGCTCACTTAATGAGCAGCTATTCATTAAATTAATATTATCTTCATCATTGAATGTGTGGGCCTATGCATTATTTAGTGAACACCAGTCATACATTGCTCTCAATACAGAATTATTATTTCCTCAGGGACTTTTCCATGGTGCTCATCACTATAATATCAGTGCTTCACAAACATTAACAAATTTATCTTCAGAACACCTCTAATATTGTTATTCCCATTTTACAGATGGGGAGCTGAGGCACAGAGATATTATTGTCAAAAGTATCCACTTACTTTGGGCTCCAATTTGAGATGCTGATGGCCTGATTTTCTCTAGAACTTACCATTTTATAGCACTGTTCAGACTATAGCTCTCACTGATTTCAGTTGCAGCTCTGAGTGCTCAGCACTTCTGCAAATCAGACCCCTTCTGTTTCAATGTAAGCATCCAGAAAATGAAGAACACTCAATTAGTGGCCAACTGTAAAATTTTTGCTTTCGTTGGATCCCACAGGAACTCTGTGGCACAGGCAGGGATAGAATCTAATTCTCCAGAGCGGCATTCAATTGCCTTATCCATAAGACTGTCCTTTCTCTTTCTGCAATCCCCTGCTTCATTCATTCACACCTTCCAGATTCTGCAATAATGAGGGAGGGGTTTTACAGGCAACAGCGTTCTTCTTTACACAGCCCTGATTCATTCCCTGAGCATGGGCCATCCTGTGCACTAAATGAGTCAGAAATTCTATGGGGAAAAAACTAGTATTTGATCATGTAATTAAAGAGTGTATCATAATGCATACACACAAAGGAGCCAAATTATGGTGGCACAGGCAACTTTAACTATGGCATTTCCTAACTTTTGAGTGATTCACTTTGCAACCTTAAAGGGATTTAAATGTATTTTTTGTAAGTAATTTCCTAGGTTTTTTAAAAAAGCAAACTGAACCCCCCTCCACCCCCCGAAATTCCATCATGTTGAACCATATTGATTCTCACATGGGTCATCTTCAGGTTTCAAAATTTTAAATCCACAGCACAGCCCTCTACCACTTGAACTAAAAGAGTAACTGGTAGCAGTAGTAGGTTGGCATTCTCTGTGTGGGCCAGCTACTAGGGGGAGGGGGATGAGGCATACATTTTGGGTTACACAGATATTTGCTGACAGCAAAGGAATGATGAGGCCCAGGAATCCTGGGTTCCATTCCAGGGTCTGTCCCTGTTCCCTGAAAACTAGGCCCCTTCTGCCCACCAATGCCTCCAGTCTGTCCTACGACCAGCCCCAGTTATCCATCCCCCATCTCCTCATCCCTGTCCATAGCCCTGCCCCCACCCATCGGTCCTCTGGGTCTTCATCCCAGTCTCCCCTTCATCACCACCCCAGCCCCTCACTTCTCTGTATTACAGCTAGCAAGTGCCTCCTCTTCCCTGCTGAGGAGCCAGTGGTGGATCAGTCTCCCAGCTCTCAGTTCCTGTGTCTGCTGCCTCTGGTGGCAAGGAGACACAATTTCAGGGAAAGTCCTTCAGGTCTGGGTTGGAGAATGCTCAGTGAAAACAAAATCCTCAGAAAATTTAGCTGCCAAACTCTGTCTCTACTGAGATGTGCAAACTGAAATTTTCAGTCTCACAACTTGGCCAAATTTAGGTGGATATTCACAGCGAAGACAAAGGACGTGTACCTTACACCAAAGCAAATTCCAAGTCCCTGGACCAAAGGACAGAGGTACTAGAACTTCTCAACGAAACAGTTATTCATGAGCAAAACAATATATTTTCCCTAAGCTTGTTCTCAGAAATGATTGAACCGCTTTTGTTGTAATTTAAAACAACAAAAAACAAACAAAAACTCAGCCGGAGACAGACACCCAGTATGGAAATTTCAATCCAAATGATTAAAGTCTGACAAAGTTAAAAGCAACTGAAAACAGGGTCTTATGAAGGAAGTGTCAGGCAACCTTAACTATTGGCAGCACTACGTGCACCTCTTATAATGATGCCTCTGGGAGGAAATAGATGTGTGGCCAACAGCTAGACCTGCAGATGTGCGCTATACAGCAATGCCCAGTGACAAGTGCCCAGTAAAAATAATACGACAGGCGTAGCATACACAGTATCAGCAAGTGGGCTGTGGTACACAATATATAACACATAGTACATATCACAGGCCAAATTCAGCCAGTAGTTATACCCTACAACCTCACAGACTTCAATGGCATTTCATAGAGTAGAAAATTTTTCTCTTTATGCTTCAATTTCTGAAAGGATGAATATTCCACCTTATGCAGTGGTCTTGTCAATACTTTGGTTGGAGACCACCAAAAAAAAAAAAAAATCCCTAGCCTGCTGCAGGAAGCAGTGTGGGTGACTGAAATTTGTTTGGCAAATGGCCTATACAAAATGATATAGTTGCATCTGAGACCATTTCAGATCTTGAAAGCCACCCTCATCTTTATACTCTAAGGCATTCTCATAGACTCATAGACTCATAGACTTTAAGGTCAGAAGGGACCATTATGGTCATCTAGTCTGACCTCCTGCATGATGCAGGCCACAAAAGCTGACCCACCCACTTTCCCTTAACTCAGCTGTTGAAGTCTCCAGATCGTGATTTAAAGACTTCAAGTCACAGAGAATCCTCCAGCTTGGGACCCCTGCCCCATGCTGCGGAGGAAGGCGAAAAACCTCCAGGGCCTCTGCCAATCTACCCTGGAGGAAAATTCCTTCCCGACCCCAAATATGGCGATCAGTAGAACCCCGAGCATACAGGCAAGATTCTCCAGCCGGACCCTCATTTTACCAGCGATGGCACGTTATTGCCTAATTGACTAAAATCACGTTATCCCATCAAACCATTCCCTCCATAAACTTATCTAGCCTAATCTTAAAGCCAGAGAGGTCTTTCGCCCCCACTGTTTCCCTCGGAAGGCTGTTCCAAAATTTCACCCCTCTGACGGTTAGAAACCGTCATCTAATTTCAAGCCTAAACTTCCCCACAGCCAGTTTATATCCATTTGTTCTCGTGTCCACATTAGTACTGAGCTGAAATAATTCCTCTCCCTCCCTGGTATTTATCCCTCTGATATATTTAAAGAGAGCAATCATATCGCCCCTCAGCCTTCTTTTGGTTAGGGTAAACAAACCGAGCTCCTCGAGTCTCCTTTCATAGGAAAGGTTTTCCATCCTTGGATCATCCTAGTGGCCCTTCTCTGTACCCGTTCCAGTTTGAGTTCATCCTTTTTAAACATAGGAGACCAGAACTGCACACAGTACTCCAAATGAGGTCTCACCAGTGCCTTGTATAACGGAAGCAGCACCTCCTTGTCCCTACTAGAAATACCTCGCCTAATGCATCCCAAGACCGCATTAGCTTTTTTCACGGCCACGTCACATTGCCGACTCATAGTCATCCTGCGGTCAACCAGGACTCCGAGGTCCTTCTCCTCCTCCGTTACTTCCAACCGATGCGTCCCCAGCTTATAACTAAAATTCTTGTTAGTCATCCCTAAATGCATCGCCTTACACTTCTCACTATTAAATTTCATCCTATTACTATTACTCCAATTTACAAGGTCATCCAAGTCTCCCTGCAGGATATCCTGATCCTTCTCCGAATTGGCAATACCTCCCAACTTTGTGTCATCCGCAAACTTTATCAGCCCACTCCTACGTTCGGTTCCAAGGTCAGTAATAAATAGATTAAATAAAATTGGAGCCAAAACCGAACCTTGAGGAACCCCACTGGTGACCTCCTTCCAACCTGACAGTTCACCTTTCAGTACTACCCGCTGCAGTCTCCCCTTTAACCAGTTCTTTATCCACCTCTGGATTTTCATATCGATCCCCATCTTTTCCAATTTAACCAATAATTCCTCATGCGGTACTGTATCAAACGCTTTACTAAAATCGAGGTATAATAGATCCACCGCATTTCCTTTATCTAGAAACTCTGTTACTTTCTCAAAGAAGGAGATCAGGTTGGTTTGGCACGATCTGCCTTTCGTAAACCCATGCTGTAATTTGTCCCAATTGCCATTCACCTCAAGGTCCTTAACTACTTTCTCCTTCAAAAATTTTTCCAAGACCTTGCATACTACAGATGTTAAACTAACAGGCCTGTAGTTACCCGGGTCACTTTTTTTCCCTTTCTTGAAAATAGGAACCACATTAGCTATTTTCCAGTCCAATGGTACCACCCCCGAGTTTACAGATTCATTAAAAATTATCGCTAAGGGGCTTGCAATTTCTCGCGCCAGTTCCTTCAATATTCTAGGATGAAGATCATCCGGTCCGCCCGATTTAGTCCCGTTTAGCTGTTCAAGTTTGGCTTCCACCTCCGATACGGTAATGTCAACCCCCCCTCCTTTATTCCCCTCTGTCCTGCTCCCTCTATTCCTAAGCCCTTCATTAGCCTTATTAAAGACCGATGCAAAATATTCATTTAGATATTGTGCCATGCCTAGATTATCCTTAATCTCCACTCCATGTACATTCTTCAGCGGTCCCACTTCCTCTTTCTTTGTTTTCTTCCTATTTATATGGCTGTAAAACTTCTTACTATTGGTTTTAATTCCCCTCACAAGGTCCAACTCTACACGGCTTTTGGCCTTTCTCACTGCATCTCTACATGCTCTGACCTCAATAAGGTAGGTTTCCTTGCTAATCCCTCCCCTCTTCCATTCTTTGTACGCTTTCTGTTTTTTCTTAATCGCCCCTTTGAGACGCTCGGTCATCCAGCTAGGTCTAAATCTCCTGCCTACTAACCATTTTCCCTTTCTCGGGATACAGGCCTCGGACAGCTCATGCAACTTCAACTTGAAATAATCCCAGGCGCCATCTGCCTTTAGATCCCTAAATATGTTAGCCCAATCCACTTCCCTAAGTAGTTGCCTTAATTTATTAAAGTTGGCCTTTTTGAAATCGTAAACCTTAGTCACAGTTTTAATTCTGTTAATCCTTCCATTTAGTTTGAGCATTCTCAATAGATAGATTAGGGATAAGCGCCCTTCTCATTCCTGGAGGTCGCTCCATCATGGCAGAGATGAGGCACACTGGTTGGTCACTGTGGAGAAGCTGGAGCTGTAATTCTTCTGCAGACAGAGGACTGTAGAGCTGTCAATCCAAGACCAGCACTAAATTAAATTGAAGTGGATAAAAGAGAGAATGCTGACAAAGGGAATGCCCAGGGACCTCATATCTACTCTATGCTTCACATGTTATTCCTCTCTTCTCAGGTTCCTATAACCTTTTTCTGAAATGCCCATGATATGTTTGTCAGACTTTGAAGCTTATGCTAAGAAGCACCTGTCCAAGACCACTTGGGACTTCTTTGCAGCTGGAGCTGATGAGTGTTGCACCCGAGATGAGAACCTCCTGGCATATAAAAGGTACAGAGAGCTCTTATTTTGTGGGCCAAAATCTTTTAGGCTATGTTGGGATGCAAGTTCTTGATGTTCTCAAGTGTCTAATACTCTCAACACCTATCCCCTATATCAGTGTTTCCCAAACTTGAGACACCGCTTGTTCAGGAAAAGCCCCTGGCAGGCCGGGCCAGTTTTTACTTGCCGCGTCCGCACGTCCGGCCAATTGCGGCTCCCACTGGCCGCGGTTCGCTGCTCCAGGCCAATGGGGGCTGCTGGAAGAGGCAGCCAGTACATCCCTCGGCCCGCGCCACTTCCTGCAGCTCCCATTGGCCTGGAGCAGCGAACCGCCAGTGGGAGCCATGATCAGCCGGACCTGCAGACGTGGCAGGTAAACAAACTGGCCCAGCCTGCCAGGGGCTTTCCCTACACAAGCAGTGTCCCAAGTTTGGGAAACACTGCCCTATATAAATGACCCACAGCAAAATGCACCTGAGTTACTTACAATGTAGCCTCTGGTGTTACCCAGCAAATGAAGGTAGGTAGCATGGAGCACAGGGGACGCTGAGGGTGGGAATGGGCAGTAAGGGAGTGGAAGCAAGTGGTATGTTCTGTAGGTGAGAGGGTAAAGGGTGGGAGTGGCCATAGAGTGTGGGGCATTGGAAGTATGGGGATGGAAAGTATGTAGCACAGGAGGCTGAGACTTGGGGGGAAATTGCATGGACAGTGAGAATGGGCAGTGTTCAGGCTGATGATATGGATATAGCAATCTGAAGGTTTTTGATGTAAGGGAAGAGAGGTGGAATCTGACAGCAAGTAGCAAAAGTGCAGCTGTGTATGGCATGGGATACAGGGAAGGCAAATGATATGGAGCAAGGAGCATTTGAGTGGGTGGTTTTCATGTTCTAGGATGCTATTCAGGCCAGTGAGGGGTGGTATCACCAATTCCCTGTAACTCTGAGTGCTCTAAATGTTCTGTTGCTGAAGCTCTCTGCTGGGGATGCTCACAGTTAGCGACAAGCATGCCCTCTGTCTGTTTGCAGTGCAACTCTGATACAGCAGCAGTTTGCCTTCTGCAGCAACACAGTCACTCCCTGCTTTCCACCAGCTTTGGTTGCGCCTGGCAATATGACCCCAGCATCCACCCCATCCCAAATTTTCCTGAAACCATGTGCTCTGCAATGTCCAGCCCTTTCCTGGACCATTCAGAGGAATAAGGTTTTTTTTGTTCCACTAAAGAGACAAAATGCACGTTAACTGGAGTTAATCACTTCAATGAACACACAGCACTGGGATGGTTTAGATTAAAAGTAAAACAAATGTATTGACCAAAGGAGATAGATTTTAAGTGATACCAAGTTGAAAGAATAAAGTTAGAAAGAGTTAAAAACAAACAAAAGTAAAAATACACTTTCTAGTTAACAAAACTGCAGTCTTGGTTCAAAGTAAGATTCTTACCACACTTCATTCCAGTATAGGTGCTGGAACTGGGGAGAGGGATAGCTCAGTGGTTTGAGCATTGGCCTGCTAAACCCAGGGTTGTGAGTTCAATCCTTAAGGGGACCACGTAGGGATCTGGGGCAAAATCAGTACTTGGTCCTGCTAGTGAAGGCAGGGGGCGGGACTCGATGACCTTTCAGGGTTTGTTCTAGGTGATAGGATATTTTCAATTATTATTTACTAAGGGTTCAGGGGGTGCAGCAGCACCCCCTGGCTTGAAGTGTTTCCATTATATATAGGGTTTACAGTTTGATTCAATGGCTCACTATAAAAATTGTTCCAGGACCCCTGCCTTCCAGCAAGATGGCCGACCACCTCCTTTGGTCAGAATCTCCCAAAAAGTCTGAAGTGCTCAGTTCCTTTGTCATCTTAGGTGAAAGATTACCTGGGGTTCTTTGCCGCACTTTTTATATCTTTTTTTTACCTTTGAAAGGGATTCAGCTGAAGGTTACCCCTCAAAATAAAGTTCATTAAAGCTGTGAGGAAGGAGCCAGGGAATCTGGTGATAAAGGAAGTTCCATGATGGGGTCTTCCCCCACTAGTGTTCGCTATAATGTGAATTGATCTGTTCCTGCCCCCTCCAATGCAAATGAATGGCCACTAGTCATGTGATAGCCAATTGATTCTGACAACACCTCACTGGAGGGCTTGGCTTGTCCTTTGTCTGGGAGAAACCTGTTTACTCACTCCACAGATTTGTCTGGTAAACACACTTCAGTCTCACATTTCCTCCACATTTGTATGGTCCCGTGGGCTGTTTATTGTACATACACCTCACAAAAATATTAATGATCAGTGTGTTGTTATGAGTTTTCTACTGATATCTTATATGACACATATCAGCTATAGTTTATGACCTTAATGAATTGGTTCACCGAACTGGTGATGCCAGCTGAAACTGTCTATCAGATATCAGGGTGCCTCTTGCTCTCTGGCATTGGGATGCTCTTAGGTTACAGTGGTACAGAAAGTGATGGCGGATGGTTCAAGAGCAGATGGTATGGGGTTTATAGGTAGGTGGCAATGGCTGTGAAGAGAGTCATATTGGGGAGTGAAATCAACGATGGGGTGGAGTTCTCAACAGGCCATGGCCCCTGGCTTTTCCTGGTTGGGTCAGACTACTGTGTGATAACATGTAAATGAAGATCCATTTATCAGGGAAGATCGCAAGCATTAAAACCACGGAACTGTTAACTTATTGACTGGCATTTCATCTTTGTCTTCTTGCAGAATCCGCTTCCGGCCACGCATGTTGCGAGATATGTCTGTGATGGACACTAGGACTACGCTTCTAGGTACTGAAATCAGCTTCCCTGTAGGGATTGCCCCCACCGGGTTCCACCGGCTGGCTTGGCCTGATGGAGAGAAGAGCACAGCAAGAGGTACCCTGTTATTTCGTTCCTGTAAAACAAAAGAGGACACATTAAAAACCTGTTGGAAACCTTGAGCAACTCTGATGGCATTTTAAAGTGTGGCTGACCCCCTGAAAAACCAATCCATAAACATGGCACTTCAGTGTCATTCTTTAGAGCCAGATTCTTTTCCTGACCTCCTACTGACCACCTCCCTTGTGATGTTCTGGAGGCACAAAGCAGCTGGAAAACCACATATGGTCACAGTGCTGCAGTACTGTAGTTATCCCTAGCTACCAGAACAGCCTCTTGGGGGCTGCTGTAACTTAGAGAAGACCTGAAGCTATTCCTCCTTGTGCCAGGGACCAAACTGGCCCCCTATTGGCCTCAGGATCTGAGGTGGGGTGACATACAGCATTCAGCCTGTACAGTCCATACACACTTTATAAAATATGGATGAAAGATCTTGTATTGGGGGTTGTTAGCTGGCATTACCATTGTACCCAGGCAGAATTGGTGAGGAAGCTTCAGCACCTTATACTGAGGCTTTTTAAAATATCTCCTGCAGCTGCTGAAGCCATGAACACCTGTTACATCACCAGCACATTCTCCACCTGCACTGTGGAGGAGATTGCTGCAGCCGCACCCAATGGCTTCCGATGGTTCCAGCTGTACATTCATCGCAACAGGACACTCTCAGAGGGGCTGGTCCGACGTGTAGAGGCTGCGGGTTTTCAAGGCCTGGTGCTCACTGCCGATCTTCCCTACACTGGGAAGAGACGAGACGACATCCGCAACAACTTCCAGCTCCCACCACACATGACAGTGAAGAACTTTGAAGGAGTCTTTGAGGTTTGGGAAATGATTTTTGTGTGTGTGTGAGAAAGAGAGAGAGAGAGAGAGAGAGAGCAGATGGGAGCCTCACTGGCCAGAGACAACCCCTGCCTGCCGATCGTGGGGGAGAAGGCAGAGTGAGGGCAGCTGGCTTAAGCAGTGTTACTGAGCATGCTCAGTCAGTGTAAGCATGCTCAGTACAAGCCAAGCAGCATATTGGGGTGGGGGGGGCACGTGACCACACGTCTCCCTCCCCCCCACCCCACACACACACATTGCTTCTGCCACTGGACTACAAAAGTAGTTCCTAGCCTTTTTGGATACATGTTATCATTTGCCAAACTCAGGCCTGGTCTACACTTAAAAGAGTTACTGTTGTAACTACTTCAGTGAGGGGATGTGATGTTGTTACTAGTGTGGATGTAGTTATACCAGTGTAACCCTTCTGCCCCTCTGAGTTGGCAGCAACAAGGGCTGGGTTCAGTATCTAGGGGTTCCGTTTCAATAACGCAATGCAACAATGGCTCGAGCCCCCACCCAGTGACCTGGGACAATTTCATACCACCCCCTGGGCGCCTCTAGGAGGCAATACTTCCCCTCTCGCAAGCATGGAGTCTGAGTGTAGCAAAAGCCTTTTAATAAAGGAGGGAAGCAATGCGGCATTATGTTGGGGAAACACCACAAACAGGATTCATAACACAAACCATGAGCAAAAGACCCAGCTCCAAGTAAGTTTGGCAGTGTCCTTTTCCCCTCAGGGTCTTATGTCCAATCACCCCAAAGTCCAACAACCCCAAAGTCTCTGTCCCTGGTCAGTGCCGCCCCAGAGTTTATCTGCAGAGTTTTACCCCCCCAGCCTGGGCAGAAATGGGGGGGGGCACGCGGGATGTTAAGGGGCACCTTACGTGGTCCGAGGCCGACTGCCCCACCTCTCCGTGGAGTTCTGCTGCAGCCTTTACCACGAATGGCTCTGCTCTACCAGCCGTGCCGCGCCACTCCACTCCTCCAGCCGTCCCCGCAAACTGATCCGCTCTGCTCCCCATTCCGTGGACCGATCCAACCGTCCCACAAACTGCTCAGCTCTGCCAGCCGTTCCACTCCACCAGCCGTCCCATGAACTGCTCCAGCTGCCCCGCAAATGGCTCAGCTCCGCTCACTGTTCTATGGGCCGCTCCAACTGTCCCACAAACTGCTCGGCTCGGCCAGCTGCTTAGCAATGTATCTTCAGGCTCCCCCATTGGTTAACACAGCACTCAGTGGTCTCAGCTCAGCAATTTTAGCTCTTTTAGTGATTTCAGCTTGTAGTAGGGGAGCCCCAGTGCTGGTGCACCATTGGCCCAAAGTGAATTCAGTTCAGCAACTTCTAGCTAGACTCCTAATGGAAGCAAACTTCGCTCTACTATTCAACAGTGGAGAGAGGAGGTAGTGCAATTGGTGCTCCAGGCCCTCAAAAGGGGCCCATACCATCAGGTACACATACCTATCCCCAACCTCTCTCAATTCACTGGGTTTTGTAACCCATGCCCCTTGTCTAGCGAGTGCTACTTAGTTACTGGTGAGTCCCTCTGTCATACAACAGTTCCACTGGCCTTGATTCACAGAATCAGGGTAACAACACTTTATTCTTCCTGCCCCAATAACAGAGAAACTGGGGATTCCACACCAGCCAAAGTAACCACTTTCAGTTGTTGTTGTCCCAGGCTAGGCGGGTGGGTGTGCCTATGCAAACAAGATCAGCCCCTGAAGTTCTTTTCCACCCTCGCCATAATTCACCACCAGATGTCAGGGTAGAGCTTATCTTGACTCTGCTTACACCAGCATAATGGTGACTCATACCAGTATAGTTATTTCCCTTTCCATATGGGAATAGCTATATTGGTAGATGCACCTTTATACCAATATAACTGCACCCATGCTGGTGGCAGTGGTGTGTGCTTGGTGGGGGAGGGTGTCATACTGCTTTAACTGTACCAGTATAGTTAAAGTGGTACAATTTTTGTGTATAGACAAACCCTAAGATCTCAGCTGTACCAGCCAGTGCTCACCGCCTTTCATTCATCTGTGCCTGCTCTAAATTCTGATGGAGCTTGGGTTGCTCTAAAGCCTGGCCTCACTCTCAGAGTGCCACTGACGGTTACAGCCATCACAACTGAATGGGAGGTGAGCTCTAAATCTGTGTAATGCCCCTGAAGTCACTTTGTTCAACAGCTCAAGTGCCTTTGCAGGAAAGAATTGACAACTGATAGGCACATAGTCCCCTGGTCAGACATTTTACTTTCAAATGGTTGGATGAAAATCTGTTTTGATTTGACCAAATGTTTAAAATCATACTCTGTACATGCACAAGAATATTTTAATAGTGGTCCCCCTGTTTTCTATTGGCAGATCTGCATGTGCAGATCTAACAAAATTGTGTGTGTGGAGATTTTACTAAAACATTTTGAAACACCGGGCCAGGTTATCGGCCCGCTGTAAATCTGTGCCACTCCATTTGCTTTAATTGAGCTACATTGATTTACAACAGATGAGAGTTGGTCTCCCTTTTCTAATTCAGGGTGCTCGTGTATATTGACAGAGGCAGGGCTTCAAAGCATAGGCACCAACTTACCAGGTTGCCGGGGGGTGCTCGACCCCTGCTCCGCCACAGGCCCCGCCCCCACTCCATCCCTTCTTCCAGGCTCCCACCCCTGCCCCGCCTCTTCCCGCCTCTTCTAGCTGATCTGTGGCGGGTGGGAGGCGCTGGGAGGGAGGAAGAGGCACTGATCCACGGGGCTATCAGTAGGTGCTGAGCACCCACTATTTTTTTTCATGGGTGCTCCAGTGCTGAAGCACCTTCAGAGTCAGCGCCTATGCTTCTAAGTAACTTGGCTTAATTCCATTCACTTTTTCAGACTCTGCATGAGCAAGCAGTCATGGGATAAGAGGGAAGGTCCTCTCATGGATTGGTAACTGGTTAAAAGATAGGAAACAAAGGGTAGGAATAAATAGTCAGTTTTCAGAATGAAGAAAAGGAAATAGTGGTGTCCCCCAGGAGTCTGTACTGGGACCAGTCCTATTCAACATATTCATAAATGATATGGAAAAAGGGGTAAACAGTGAGGTGGCAAAATGTGCAGATGATACAAAACTACTCAAGATAGTTAAGTCCCAGGCAGACTGCAAAGAACTACAAAAGGATCTCTCAAAACTGGTTGATTGGGCAACAAAATGGCAGATGAAATTCAATGTTGATAAATACAAAGTAATGCACATTGGAAAACATAATCCCAACTATACGTATAAAATGATGGGGTCTAAATTAGCTGTTACCATTCAAGAAAGAGATCTTGGAGTCATTGTGGATAGTTCTCTGAGAACATCCACTCAATGTGCAGCAGCAGTCAAAAAAGCTAACAGAATGTTGGGAATCATTAAGAAAGGGATAACTAATAAGACAGAAAATATCATATTGCCTCTATATAAATCCATGGTACGCCCACATCTTGAATACTGTGTGCAGATGTGGTCGCCCCATCTCAAAGAAGATATATTGGAACTGGAAAAGGTTCAGAAAAGGGCAACAAAAATGATTAGTGGTATGGAGCGTCTGCCATATGAGGAGAGATTAACAAGATTGGGACTTTTCAGCTTGGAAAAAAGATGACTAAGGGGGGATATGATAGCGATCTATAAAATCATGAGTAGTGTGGAGAAAGTAAATAAGGAAGTGTTATTTACTCCTTCTCATAACACAAGAACTAGGGGTCACCAAATGAAATGAATAGGCAGCAGATTTTAAACAAACAAAAGGAAGTATTTTTTCACAAAATACACAGTCAACCTGTGGAACTCCTTGCCAGAGGATGTTGGGAAGGCCAAGACTATATCAGGGTTAAAAAAAGAACTAGATAAGTTCATGGAGGATAGGTCCATCAATGGCTATTAGCCAGGATGGGCAGGGATGGTGTCCCTAGCCTCTATTTGCAAGAAGCTGGGAATGGGCAACAGGGGATGGATCACTTGATGATTACCTGTTCTGTTCATTCCCTCTGGTGCACCTGGTATAGGCCACTGTCAGAAGACAGGATACTGGGCTAGATGGACCTTTGGTCTGATGCAGTATGGCCGTTCTTATGTTAAGCCAGGGATTCAAAAGAGTGCCTCATTCAAAGCACAATATGAGCACTGAGTGAGGCACGATTCGGCAGGAGTCCTTGCCTCCTTGAGTGTGCGTCTTGAATGGACAGAGCAATCTATGGTGGGCTAGCCACATCCAATTTCTTTCTCTCCCCCCACCCCCATTGTTTCTTTTTAAATAAACTAGTAATTCCATCAAAAAAATGTCACTAAAAGCACTCATAAATCAGGAAATGCCAAAGTGATGGTTGCTTATGTAAATGTATTGTGATACCATCTTCATTTACGGGCTACTCTTTCTGTGGGTCTGGGTGGCACACACTGAATGAGACAAGGTACAGAATGAGTGAAAAATGTTCTGTGGATCTGGGCCTGATTTGGGCCCCAATTGTTTCTGCACAGCGTAATTCCTGAGTATGCATTATAGTCCATGCACTTACTCTCTGTCTAAACCAGTGTAACTGAAAGTACCTTTAAGGTTAATGGCAGGATGGATGATATGTAGCAAATAGGCAGGTTGCATAAATCAGAGCTGTATGGCTATGGGTAGCCTTCCCTTTTGTATCTGCTGCTTTCTCATCTTGTTTTGAAATACAGTGAATGGAAAGGAGACCTGCCTTGGCCTCCATCACACCAGACAGTTTATGCTGCTATCTAAAGAAGCCCAATGGCCTTGTTTGCAGAAAAAAAATCATTTTGACAACTGCTGTATCAAGGGCATATCCCCTCCCGTTTCTGCTCTGCAATGTCCTCGTTTGCACTCCTGCTCTCCAATACCTTGGCTTTGACATCTCAGCCTACGTCCCTCAGAGACTCTTCTTTCCATATCCATTCCCCATAATAATTGTTGTCCTCCAGGGACATGTCCTTTACAAAGCCAATTGATGGAACTGTTATGAAGTCTATTAATGTTTTCTGTGGTAGAGAAAGAGTTTGAGGGATATTAATTATATTATATTATATTATATTATATTATATTATATTATATTATATTATATTATAAACATGTAATGAAATTTCCTTCTACTCCATGGCTGCAGGAAGAGAGTTGTTCTGAGTATGGCCTCCCGCCTAACTCCATAGACCCTTCTATAAACTGGAATGACATCTATTGGCTGCAGAGCCTGACTCGCTTGCCTATCATTGTCAAGGGAATTTTGACTAAGGAAGATGCAGATCTGGCAGTGAGACATGGAGTTCAGGGGATTATTGTATCCAACCATGGTGGAAGGCAGTTGGATGGAGGACCTGCCACTGTAAGTGGAAAGCTGCAATCTGTTGTCCTAGGCATGCACGTGTCCCGACATGGGTAACTGTGTGCCGACATTCATATACATAGCTGTGGTATACCTGCACATACATTTGCGTGCCTGTGTGTACTGTAGCAAAGATGAAGTGAGCACCTAATTCTGCCGAGACACAAACCCATTGAATTTAGCGGGAACTGCCTGCAAATATTTGCAGCATTAGATCTTAATGGAATGGAAATTTATAGTCCCTTAAGCCCCAGAGTAAAGATAATTTATGTGGCAGAAATCTCCCTGATATCCATCTCTACAAATTAATCACTGGGTGTTCGAATGTTTGCCTGCCCCAATGTTTCTTCCCATCTTTTTTCTGTTTCTTTTATCTATGCTATTTTTGCATATTGTCACGTCTGTGTTTTATTGTGACCTATTCACTTTACTATTTTTACTGAATTTTCTCTCATTTGCTTTATAAAATACAACACAATAATCCAAGGAATTCCATGGAAACACTACTTGGGGGGAAACACTACTATTTTACTTCTGCATCCATAAAATTTTCTGCCTTGTCATTGCATATATATATGAGTGATAAGGTTTTCACTACTACCTTAAATCTTCCTCCTCATGCCTGTACCGTCATGATTTTCAAAGTGTGGGGCACAGCACCCTGGAGAGAGACAACAAGGTTTTCAGGGGACTGAACATGCTCCGGGGTGGGGTGGGTGGGATGAGGCTGGTCCCAGGATCCCTGCACTCTAGGCTCCCCTGTTCCCATTACCCAGCATGTCCAGTGCTGTGCTGCCGTCCTGCTGCTTTCAGATATTAGGCTGCCTCCACTGCCATGCGCTGCTCGGGAGCTCTCACCAGACAGCATCTGCCTGGCTGAGAACCAACTTAGCCTTTTCCGGGGCAGCCTGAGCACCCCTAGCTTTGAGGCTATTTGCTGCAGAGACTGAATGCAGGAGGTGGCGGAACATGTGAGAGGAGGGTTCTGCTAGGGGAACGGGGGTCTGGGTATAGGAAATGGGGAATCTGCTACAGGGAGACAGGCCAGAAAGGGGAAGTTGCCCTGGACAGAGAGCAGGGTCTGGGTAGGAAGAAGGGAGGGAGGTGATAGCATTGCTGGGGAGGCAGGGAAATTCTGCTGCCAACCCAAGACTGGGTGCTCTGCCAGGGAGATGGGGGCTAGGAAGGGGGCTGTCCCAGAACCTGGCTCTGGCTGCCCTTTGAAGGGCCAGGCAATGGTTTCACCTTGTCCTCCAGCCCTGGCCTCCCCAATACACTGTGGGGCTGAGAAGCTGTTCCCACGCTAAGGACCCTCACCCAGAGTCGAACCAATGGGATCCATGCACTCCTTCTCCACAAGCCCTTGCCCCTGCCCCTCTGCCCTAGCAACTGAGCCCCCTCCTCAGGGGAGGGGTCCTGGAGCTTGCTGGTCATGTGGGGACTCTTATGAATTCAGCACCTAGGACATGAATCTCTGAAGGGCACACAGCCAAAAGAAACAAACATATGAGAACCTCTATTCTACTATACTTCCAACCACTGCTATGACTCCAGCCATTAGTGCAAGGTCTGTCATGCCTTCTGCTGCCCCAATTAACCAGCAGATATCAAACTTAGAAAACTTCAGGCTCAAACTTTGACAAAATTATAAGCAACTGAAAAGATTACTCTAGGAAATGTAACTGTAACTATTATAATTACAATATATAAGGAGGCCAAAGAAGGGAAACTGAGAGATCAAGAGACCAGTGCCTTCTAAAGATAAGGTTGAGACAGTAGCCAAGGTGATGGGGGGGGGGAATGCCTTTGTCATCAATTTTTGCTCAAACTTCTTCAATCCCTTCTTATTGGCCCTCCCTCCTTCAGTCCATCCAGAATTTCTATGGATAGAAATTCCATGCTTGAATAATGAGTATAGCAGTAGGAATATACTACCAACCATCTGACCAGGATGGTGATGGTGATTGTGAACTGCTCAGGGAGATTAGAGAGGCTACATAAACAGAAAACCCAATAACAATGGGGGATTTCAACTATCCCCCTGTTGACTGGGTACATGTCACCTCAGAATGGGATGCAGAGATAAAATTTCTAGATACAGTTAATAACTGCTTCTTGGAACAGCTGGTCCTGGAACCCACAAGGGGAGAAGCAATTCCTGATTTATTCGTCAGTGGTGCATAGGATCTGATCCAAGATGTGAATATAGCTGAACCACTGGTAATAGCAACCATAATGTAATCAAATTTAACGTCTTTGTAGGGAGAAAATAACAAAGAAACTCATCCCAGTAGCATTTAACTTCAAAAAGGGGAACTACCAAAAAAAAAAAAGAGGAAGTTAGTTAAATGGAAATTAAAAGGAACAGTCACAAGTGTGAAATGCCTGCAAGCTGCATGGATACTTTTTTTAAAACACCAAAATAGAGGCTCACACTATATGTATACCCCAAATTAAAAGAAACAGCAAGAGGACCAAAAAATGTCACCATGGCTAAACAACAGAGTAAAAGAGGAGACTAGCAAGAATAAGACATCCTTTAAGAACTGGAAGTCAAATCCTTCTGAGGAAAATAGAAAGGAACATAAACTCTGGCAAGTCAAGTGTAAAAATACAACTAGGCAGGCCAAAAAAGAATTTGAAGAGCACTTTGCAAAATACACAAAAACTAACAGCAACAACATTTTAAGTACACCAGAAGCAGGAAGCCTGTCAAACAATCAGTGGAGCCACTGGACAATGGAGGTGCTAAAGGAGCACTCAAGATAGACAAGGCTGTTGCAGAGAAGCTAATTGAATTCTTTGCATCAATTTTCACTGCAGAGCAGAGGATATGGGGGAGATTCTCATATCCAAACCATTATTTTTCGGTGACAAATCTGAGGAACTGTCCCTGACTGAGATGTTAATAGAAGAGATTTTGGAGCAATATTGATAAATTAAAAAGTAATAAGTCATCCGCACCAGATGGTATTCACCCAAGAGTTCTGAAGGAACTGAAATAAGAAATTGCAGAACTACTAACTCTGGTATGCAACCTAGCCCTTAAATCAGCTTCTGTACCAGATGACTGGAGGATATCTAATGTAATGCTGATCTTTTAAAAAGTCTCCAGAGGTGATCCTGGCAATTACAGGCCGGTAAGCTTAACTTCAGCACAGGCAGAGTAGTTGAAACTATAGCGAAGAACAGAATTATCAGACAGATAGATAAGCACGACATGTTGGGGAAGAGTCAACACGGCTTTTGTAAAGGGAAATCATGCCTCCTCAATCTATTAGAATTCTTTGAAGGAGTCAACAAGCATGTGGACAAGGCTGATCCAGTGGATATAGAGTAGTTACACTTTCGGAAAGCCTTTGACATGCTCCCTCACCAAAGACTCCTAAGCAAAGTAAGCAGTCATGGGTCCTCTCATGGATCAGTAACTGGTTAAAAGATAGAAACAATAGGTGGGAATAAATGGTCAGGTTTCACAGTGGAGAGAGGTAAGTAAAACCCTAACCTTTTTTTGCTGAAAAATTCCCTTTTTTCTCCCTCAGCTTTTTTTTTTAACAAATATTTTTATCTTTTATCATTTATTTTCAATTTTCAAAATAAGAAATTTTAATAAATGGTTTCATTTTACATTTTGAACTTTTTGGGGAAGAACCTTCATGCCATGTGACCAAAAATGTAATTTAAAAGTATTTCAGAAATGGAAAACAATTAACAAAAATGTCCCACTATTCGCTTTATTTTTTTGTGTTTGTTTTGTTTTTTTAATCAGCACTAACAAATAAATCAAGTAATCACAACATGTTCATGACACTAGAAAATGGGATAAAGTATTTGGCAAGTAGGCTGGAGGACTGCTTTTTTTTCTACAATTTAGAAACACATATTTGGCATTTTGTATTATGAGGTGCATTGTTAAATTTCAGTTTAAAAGAGCATAAGCAGTTACAGACGGTCTTACATAATTGTACCCCCTCCCTTCTCTTCTTATATCTTTCTCTAAGAATCAAAGGCTGAGTTCTATGTGGAAGTATCTGTTTCTTTTCAGATTGATGCTTTGATTGAAATTGTAGACACAGTGCAAGATAGAGTTGAAGTTTATCTAGATGGTGGAATACGAACAGGAAGTGATGTATTAAAGGCACTGGCACTCGGAGCAAAATGTGTCTTCCTCGGAAGGCCAGCTTTATGGGGTCTGACCTACAAGGTGAATGAGGAAACATGGGGTTTGTACATGCACTCATTCTCATGTGCACAAACACTGGGTTACTGACAGAGCTGGTAGGGATATTTTTTCCAGTGAAAAAATTAAACAAAAATGAAATATTTTTAATTTTCATTGTAAAGTTTCTCTGAAAAATTTCAGGCTTTTGTTTTTTCAATGGAAACCCAAAACATTTACTCAAAACCAAATATTTTGCACAGAAATACCTGCTTTGACAAAAATGCCATTTTCTGTTGATGGACATTTCTCTGGAAAAATTTTCACCAGCTCTAGTTACTGATAAAGGAAGAAGTTGCAGATAAGTAGTGTTCACCCTGAGTAAAAGACTCCAACTCTCCAGATGGTAGGTTACCTTGCTCTGTGACATAACTTTTCCAACTCTTGTGATTTCATGAGGAGTTTTGTGATTATTGAGAATTTCAGGTTTTTTTTTTAAAGTATATTTATAGCCCTCATGGCTATGAAGAGAGGTATGAAAATGTAAAATCTAAAGACTCAAAAAGAAAAAAAAAAGAACCTAAAATGTATTTATAAAAAAACCCTGACTTTTAAGCCAATCAGATGATTTTGGGGGGCCTGCCTCATGGTATATGAATGCCTGGGGTTGGCAGTACTGGTGATATAGAGACAGGTCTCCTCATTCATCTTAAGTCACTTTGGAAAACAGGACATAGGTTCCTAAGTCACTTCAATTTTTTTTAATTTACTCAGGGTCACCTTACATTTTTTTAAAATTACCTAACAAACAATCCAAGTTTTTGGTAAAGTATCCATTGTATAGCATGTCATGAAACCTTTTCTAAAACCACTGTTTTCTGCTACCGTGCTGAAGTTTAAAAGGGTCCTTTGGGCAGGACCAACCGCACTATCTTTCCTGTATGTGCTCAAGCCTGCTACCATTTCTATTCCAGTGTCAGCTTTGCTGCTCCAACAATACTATCAAACTCAAGCATTCAAAAACATTGAGTAGACCCCAAAAATCATAAGGTTGGCTTAAATCATGAGATTTAAAAAAAAAATCTAGTAAAATCTTGGTTCTTTTTATTTGTCTTCTGGCTTTTGAACCTTTTGGGTTCACATTTTCACAATCATGAGGGCTGGAAACATTTTTTCCTTTAAATGAAATCTAAGATTGTGATGCAGTGTTGTGTTTCTAGCTACTGGGGCTTTCAGAAAAATAGCAGACCTGTGATAAACTTGCAAGAATTGGCAGCACTGCTTCTGTTGCCAGTAAATACTGTCTTAAAGGGATGTGGAAAAGGGTGTTGGTGAGCTCCGCGCCCCCGTCCCAGGCACTACATACGAGTAACTGGTGGGATTTTCAGATTTGCCTAAAGGAGGTAGGCACCCAACTCCCAACGAAGGGGAATGTGTGTTGGGTGCCTCGCCTCCCTAAAGTGCTTCTGAAGATCTCACTCAATGTAATTTTGCTAGTGTATGAGACAGAAAATGAAAATGACCATCAATGGAAGAGAGACATTGACATCACCAAGTATTGTGAAATGTAAAACTGAAATTAGAGAAAAATAATTTTCTCTAATACCTTTCAGTTACGGTGATATAGAATAGTATAGAAAAAATAGGTGGACAAAATGTTCAAATGAAAATGTGCTTTTCAAGTTGTTGGCACCACTTTTACAGAAGAAAATGTACACTGCACTATTTTTAGGATCCATAACTTTTATCTGAAAAACCTATATCTTCCAAAATGTAAAGTGCTCAAGACCTTATTGAGCACTAAGTGCATGCAAAATTTAAAGTTTTGAAACAAAGGCATTAGCAGAAGTTATTTGAAAGCACACTAAAAAAAAACCCCCAAAAATCAAAAACCCTACCTCACACATCCGGAAAATGTCTGAGGTGAAAAACAGCTCCATTTTCTTTCTTCATTCAGATACAGCACAAAAAGTGAAAATATCTAAATTAACTTCTTGTGAACTAAAATATCCATAAACCTAAGAAGCCATCTGTCTGAGTGTCTAAAAATTGGCACTGCTCTAAGGAGTAGCCCCAACTTTCATAGTAAATGCTCTTTGCTGTGATGCTCGGTGACTGCATTCCTCTTACCTTCACTGCTTTCTCTGTTTGAATAGGGTGAAGAAGGGCTTCGAGAAGTTTTGCAGATTTTACATGATGAATTTCGTTTGTCAATGGCCCTGGCTGGTAAGAATTTTTTGCTGTTTGATTAGTAATTGATGAGAAGCAGTATTGCCACCTTAGAGTGAGCACAAAGGCACCACATGCAAACAGATGGATCAAATCAAAGTGAGGGGGTTTGTAAAAGAACTGCTCAGTGCAACAAAAATAATTCCTTTCACAGGATTTCAGGCTTGTTGCTTTATATGAATGCATCAAAACAGAGTGGGTAGAAAAACTATCACTGACTAAAATAGGAAGTAAGGCGGGGTACAGCCTGGCTCCATCCCATAGTACTCTGGACAACCCAATTAACCCTATCATGAGGTATAAGCACCTGAAGGATAATAGGGTTATAAGGAATAGTCAGCATGGATTTTTCAAGAACAAATCATGCCAAATCAACTTAATTTCCTTCTTTGACAGGATTACTGGCCTAGTGGATGGGGAAAAGCACTAGGCATGATATACCTTGATTTTAGCAAGGCTTTTGATACAATTCTGAATTCTCATAAGCCAACTAGGGAAACATGGTCTAGATGAAATTACTATAAGGTGGGTGCACAACTGGTTGAAAGAATGTATGCAAACAGTACTTATCAATGGATTCTTGTCCAACTGGGAGAACACATCTAGTGGAATCTCACAGGGGTCAGTCCTATGTCCAGCACTATTCAATATTTTCATTAATGACTTGGTTAATGGAGAGGAGAATATGCTTATAAAATTTACAGATGACACCAAGATGGGAGGGGCTGCAAGCACTTTGTAGGATAGGTTTAAAATTCAAAATGACTATGACAAATTGGACAATTGGTCTGAATTCAACAAGATAAAATCCAACAAAGACAAGTACAAAGTACTTCACTTAGGAAGGAAAAATCAAGTGCACAATGACAAAATGAGGAATAATTATGTAGGTGGTCATACTGCTGAAACGGATCTGGGGGTTATAGCAGTTCACAAACTGAATGTGAGTGAATGAGTTGTCAATGGGATACATCTGCAAAAAGGGCTAATATGATTCTGAGGTGTATTAACAGGAGGGTTGAATGTAAGACACAGGAGATAATTGTTCCGCTCTACTCAGCACTGGTGTGGTCCCAGCCGGAGTCCTGTGTCCAATTCCGGGCACCACACTTTAGAAAAGATTGGACAAAGTGGAAAGGGTACAGAGGAGAGCAACAAAAATGATAAAAGGTTTAGAAAACCTGACCAGTGAGGAAACAAACTGGGCATATTTAGTCTTGAGACAAGAAGACTAAGGGGGAACTTAATAACAGTCTTCCAATATGTTAATGGCTGTTATAAAGAGGATGGTGATCAATGTTCTCCATATCCACTGAAGGTAGCACAAGATGTGATTGGCTTAATCTGCAGCAAGGGAGATTTAGGTTAGATATTAGGAAAAACTTTCTAACTCTAAGGGTAGTTAAGATCTGGAACAGGCTTCCAAGGGAGTATGTGGTCCCCATCATTGGAAGCTTTTAAAAAGTAGGAGAAACACCTGTCAGGGATGGTCTAGCTTTACTTGGCCCTGCAACAGTGCAGGGGACTGGACTGGATGACTACTCAAGGTCCCTTCCAGTCCTCCATTTCTATGATTCTATGACCACTTTACTACAAGGGTATAGTGGTTAGATTAGGGAACTAGGGATCAGGATTAAAGCGTTAGAACCATGCTGGTTTCAGTTGTTAGGGTTCATGAAAACCCTCTTTCATTTTTGCTTCCCATGGGTTCACACACTTTGCATTTTGTGAGAAAGTGGGCTGAAGCTACTTTTTTACCTGGTTTGGGTTGAAACCATGCAAAACCACTGACCAGGGCTAAGCAAAAATTGGAATTTCCATCCATTCTGATATTTCAACATTTCGTTTCATCCTAAATTGGAATGCACTGTAGTTCACTAGTACCGTAGCTCAGGAGGCAGCAGTGTGTATTGCGGTGCTGATGGTGTTGGCTGTTACAATTGCATATAATATGATTTATTTTTATCTTTTTCCTTTAAAAAAAACAAAGAATTTACAACCTAAAAGCAACATTCAAAGTAAATTATGGAGTTTGCAAAGTCAAGCGCTTGAAAGTTAGGAAATGCCAGAATTAAGGATGTCCATGCCACCTTAATTTGGCCCCCTTGTGCATATGCATTCTGATAGTCTTTAACTACCTCATCACAGACTGTACTATTTTTTCCACAGGATCCTTGTCTCATTCAGTGAACAGCATGGATGATGCTGAGGGAATGAGACAGCTGCTCAATACTTTTTTTTTTATGATCTCTGATCAATGTGTGGCCCTAGACCTTGTTTACTGCACACCGTCCAAACCCTGGACTGGACACACAATTATTTATTTCCTCGTGGGCTTTTCTGTGGCACTCACCATCGTAGTATTGGAATGTTTCAAAAACATTAATTTCCCTGTAAGAGAAGAAAATACCATCACCTCCACTTTACACATGGGAGAACAGAAACAAAGAGGCTTGCCTAAGACAACACATTGAAACTTTGGCAAGGACTAGAAATCCATGATCATTCCAGAGCACACAACCTTACTGTGACGGGTTGGATCACAGAAACCCCCTTGGGAGCTGCCACCTAATGTGCAAAGACTACCTCTGCTCCTGTTTTCCCTGCCAGCTCAGGACTCCAGCACCCTGTCTTGCTGAATTAGACACTCCCGTCTGCTTCAACACAGACCCGGGGTCTGAATCACTTGTCCCAAAGCTGCAAGTTTACCTGAAAACAGCTCACGGTAGTGTGCTTGTCTTTAGCACTCAGATGCCCAACTCCCAATGGGGTCTAAACCCAAATAAATCCGTTTTACCCTGCATAAAGCTTATGCAGAGCAAACTCATAAATTGTTCGCCCTCTATAACACTGATAGAGAGATATGCACAGTTGTTTGCTCCCCCAGGTATTAATACATACTCTGAGTAAATTACTAAATAAAAAGTGATTTTATTAAATACAGACAGTAGGATTTAAGTGGTTCCAAGTAGTAACAGGCAGAACAAAGTAAGTCACCAAGCAAAATAAAATAAAATGCGCAAATCTATGTCTAATCAAGCTAAATACAGATAATCTCACCCTCAGAGATGCTTCAGTAAGTTTTTCTCAGACTGGACACCTTCCAGGCGTGGGCACAATTCTTTCCCCTGGTACAGCTCTTGTTGCAGCTCAGGTGATAGCTAGGGGATTCTTCATGATGGCTTCTCCCTCCCTTTGTTCTCTTCCACCCCTTTATATATCTTTTGCATAAGGCGGAAACCCTTTGTCCCTCTGGGTTTCCACCCCCCCTCACTGGAAAAGCACTAGGTTAAAGATGGATTCCAGTTCAGGTGACATGATCACATGTCACAGCAAGACTTCATTGCCCACTTGCCAGCACACACATATACAGGAAGACTAACAGGTAAACACAACCATCTGCAGACAATGGTCCTGGTTAATGGGAGTCATCAAGATTCCAAATCATCATTAATGGCCCACACTTTACATAATTACAATAGGCCCTCAGAGTTACATTTTATATTTCTAGTTTTAGATACAAGAGTGGTACATTTATACAAATCAGATGATCATACTCAGTAGATTATAAGCTTTGTAATGATACCTTACAAGAGACCTTTTGCATGAAGCATATCCCAGTTATGTTATATTCACTTATTACCATATTTTCTCTAAAACTATCCCAGTTACATTATATTGACTTCTTATCAAGTTTTTATAAAACCATATAGACTGCACAACGTCACACTTACTGTCAAAAAGATTGAGCATCCACTACTTTCATTAACATCAGTTCCAGTCATGAGTGCTCAGGAGTTTGAAAATCATGCCCCAGGATCTCAAGTTAGGCTTGCAGAAAATAAGAGACACACCATTATTGGCCACCTGCAAAAATTTTAGTTTAAGTCATTTGCACAACATTATATCGGAAGTCTGCCAGCTAGCCAGGGATAAAAATCCAGATCTGGGCAGCAGTCAACTATCTTAACTATGAGACCATTCTTTCCTTGCCTGCATGTGTTTGCCTCTACACCATCCATCCTGTGCACTGAGTGAGGCATTTTTGCCTGTGGAAATAATAGTATGTGATCACATAATTTAAAGACTGTACCATAATGCATGTGCCCAAGGGGGCCAAATTTAAATTATGCAGCCAGTCTTAATTCTGGCATTTCCTAACTTTTGAGTGTTTGATTTTTGCAAACTTAATATTATTTATAAAGTAGGTTTTTGGTAAGTAATTATTATTTATGGTACATTAGTGTCTAGAATCCTCAACATGCTAGGTGCTGTACGTACACTTAGAAAACTGGCGAGTTTACAAGCTAAAACAAGAGTTTTATTGTTCCCATTTTATAGATGGAGAATTGAGACAGATTAAGTGGCTTGCTCATGGTCACACAGGAATTCTGTAGCACAGCCAGGAATATAACCCAGACCTCCCAAGACTTAGCTCAGTGCCTTAACCATAGACCATTCTTTCTCTCAATAGTCATTTTTAACCCTGTATTTTATTTCAGGCTGTCACAATGTCTCAGGAATCGGCCGAAACCTGGTTCAGTTCTCCAAGCTGTAAATGGAGTGCCCACTAACCAGACAAATGGAAGCAGCTCCTGATAACTATCAAAGCCTTGAGTGTCCTGAGTAACAGACTCCCAGCCGTGTAACTCTTCCACTGTCCCCCGACAAGCACCCTAGTTCCCCTTAAGCTGTTGAATCCCCCCCCCCCCATAAAAACAAGTGAAACTATCAGGATGTGTAAGTAACATCACTGCATGTCCTTATCATCACAACCCTCACCCTCCCCACACACACACCCTCCCCCTCCCCAGACCCCTCTACTTTAAGGCTAAGCTTAGACACAGCAGGGGTCAGGCCTTATTTCTATATAGAGCACCATGCATGCCTATGGCCCTGTATAAATATTTGTTTGGTCACCCTGTGGTCTCCTTATTGGCAGATCAGTGCAGTCATATGGGGTCCCTGAATAATGATACTGGCATAAGCTCAGTTTAATAACAGGTATTTATTTTTGGAATAGGATACAGAACATCCTGCTGCTGGTACAAATAGTTTCCATCTCTCCCTGAGGCAGAAAACACACTTCTATTTCCTCTCAGAGTTACTTTTCGAGACAGGGGTCTTTCCATCCTGTCTGGGAGGAGCCACCGCCTTTGGGGGCTGCCTGTGGCTGTGCCATGCACACAGACCCAGCCAGCACAGTGCCTCTGTTAAATAACTAATAATAATGAGCTATCTTTCTACCACTCTTCCCATGTTCTTTTTCTCTATCTCCTGTTCCTCCCTTCCCACAATTGTCTTCTTACCTTCCATCCCACCTCATCCAGAGTATAGCCCTCTGCTATTTTCCCCATGTATCATCCCTCTTCCCCCTTTCTCCTATCCCCCACTTTGGGACTGTCCGTAAATTACATAATGCATTAATGGATGGGAGGGTGGGTCTTTAATTTTGTATGTTTGTTTCAGTGTTACAAATGGTGGGTGGGTCTTGAAAAATCAATAAAAAATGTGTTATGTAATTTAGGGACAGCCCTTTCTCTCACTCCATGTCTTCTGTCTCCCCTCTGCCCAGAATGTTGTTTCTTTATTTCCTTTTGCCTTCCCCTATATCCAGGGCCGGCTCTGGCTTTTTTGCCACCCCAAGCAAAAAACACCCGGCCAGCCAGAGGAGCAGGGGGGCGGGGAGGGGAGGAGGAAAACAAACCTGCCCCCGGCCGGAGCGGCGAGGGGGGGGAGGGGGAGAGAACGAACCGGCCGGCTGGAGCGGCGAAAGGGGGCGGAGGGAGAACAAACCAGCCGACCGGAGCAGCCTACTCCTCGCCCGGTATCCTGAGGAGGACTGGCCAAGCCTGCCCCGTTACAGCTATCCCGAGGAGGAGCCGAGCCTGCCCCGTTCCAGCTACCCCGAGGAGGAGCCGAGCGTACCCTTCGCTACCTACCCAGAGGAACCGATGCTGGTGGAGAGCACCGAGGACACTAGTACGGCCCAGGTACCCTACGAGGGGGAGTGTGGAAGTAGCCCAGGGGCAGCCGACCCCAGTCTGGCTGCAGCACTGCCAGAGCCTATGTCAGTGTGTTGCGGCCAGGATCCCCACTGACAGCAGCGAGTTTCCGCCGCTGCTAGGGCCCCGGGCTGGATGCAGTGGAGTGGGAGGGCCTGCGTCCCCCCTGCCACCCGCTCCTTGGGTGGCAGACTCCCCCTTCCTCCTGGCCTAGAGAGGCTGGGACCTCTTGCTCATTGACTCAGCCACTGCTTAAGGGCCTGGGTTTCTGACTGACTGTTTGATTGCAGCCCAGGCCCTTAAGCAGGGGCTGAGTCAATGTTTATAGCAGCCCTAGGTCAGGGCGGGGCAGCAATTCAATAGTCAGTCAGGAACCCAGGTCCTTAAGCAGGGGCTGAGTCCGGTATAGGGTGGTGTTTATGTGACCATCACTTATTTGCACTGTAGTGTCCAGGAAGTGGATCTCTTGTGTGGACTGGTCCAGGCTGAGGTTGATGGTGGGGTGGAAATTGTTGAAGTCCAGGTGGAATTCTTCAAGGGCCTCCTTTCCGTGGGTCCATATGATGAATTTGCTCCAACCCCTCAGACAGAGACAAACACCTACAAGATCTTTATCAAGCATTCGTAAAACTACAATACCCACCTGGGGAAGTGAGGAAACAGATTGACAGAGCAAGACGGGTACCCAGAAATCACCTACTACAGGACAGGCCCAACAAGGACAATAACAGAACACCACTGGCCATCACATACAGCCCCCAGCTAAAACCTCTCCAGCGCATTATCCACGATCTACAACCTATCCTGGAAAATGATCCCTCACTCTCACAGACCTTGGGAGGCAGGCCAGTCCTCGCTTACAGACAACCCCCCAACCTGAAGCAAATACTCACCAGCAACTACACACCACACCACAGAAACACCAACCCAGGAACCTATCCCTGTAGCAAACCTCGTTGCCTACTCTGTCCCCATATCTACTCTGGCAACAGCATCAGAGGACCCAGCCACATCAGCCACACCATCAAGGGCTCATTCACCTGCACATCCACTAACGTTATATATGCCATCATGTGCCAGCAATGCCCCTCTGCCATGTACATTGGCCAAACCGGACAGTCCCTCCGCAAAAGAATAAATGGACACAAATCGGACATCAGGAATGGTAACATACATAAGCCAGTAAGTGAACACTTCAATCTCCCTGGTCATTCTATTACAGATTTAAAAGTCACTATCATTGAACAAAAAAACTTCAGAAACAGACTTCAAAGAGAAACAGCAGAACTAAAATTCATTTGCAAATTTAACACCATTAATCTGGGCTTGAATAGGGACTGGGAGTGGCTGGCTCATTACAGAAGCAGCTTTTCCTCTCCTGGAATTGACACCTCCTCATCTATTATTGGGAGTGGACTACATCCACCCTGATTGAATTGGCCCTGTCAACACTGGTTCTCCACTTGCGAAGTAACTCCCTGCTCTCCATGTGTCAGTATATAATGCCTGCATCTGTAACTTTCACTCTATGCATCCGAAGAAGTGAGGTTTTTACTCACGAAAGCTTATGCCCAAATAAATCTGTTAGTCTTTAAGGTGCCACCAGACTCCTTGTTGTTTTTGTAGATACAGACTAACACGGCTACCCTCTGATGTTTAATTTGTCAATTTGTTCTAAAACATCTTCTACTGACACATCAGTGTGGGACAATGCTTCAGCTTTGTCAGCCAAAAAGCAGAGCTCTGATTTGGGTATCTCCACCACCTCCTCTGCAGTGAAGACCAATGTAAAGAATTCATTTTTCTTCTCTGCAATGGTCTTAGCTTCCTTGAGTGCTCTTTGAGGGTAGATGAGGGAGCAGGGCAGCCCCAGCAGAGCAGTGGGGGAAGACGCAGAAACCCAGGGCTAAGGGGAACAACAGGAATGGGCACAGCAGTAGCAGAATATGAAGATGTGCGCGTGGGGGCCATAGTTGGTGTTGGGGTTTGTGGACAAAGGAAGTAATTAATTCCCTGAGGGGTTGTGGGTGGGTGGAGGGTAGCCGACAATTTATTAAGGGGCATCTGTGTGGGCATGTGTGTTGGATGGGAAATTAATTGACCAGGAGTAGAATTAGGAATTTGAGTATTTGATGGTGATGGGGGGGATTCTAGCTGCACTGCCTTGGTTTGGGTTTTAGTGTGCAGGGGAGCGCACATCGGCTCCTCTCCCGCTGAGCTGAGGAACTACACTATCAGCAGCCATGTCTCAGCTGTTGATTTTGTGCTGATTACAGTCATTGGTGGCAGGACCGGCTCTGGCTTTTTTGCCGCCCCAAGCAAAAAATGCCCGGCCGGCCAGAGCAGCAAGGGGCGGGAGGGGAGGAGGAAAACAAACCTGCCCCCGGCCGGAGCGGCGAAAGCGGGGGAGAGGGAGAGAACAAACGGCCGGCTGGAGTGGCGAAAGGGGGTGGAGGGAGAACAAACCAGCCGACCGGAGCAGCAAAGCGGGGGGAGACAAACCAGCCGACCGGAGCAGCAAAGGGGGGGGAGACAAACCAGCC